AGCAGTTCAAATGAGAATACCGAAAACCAACACATCTCAAGAAATGGAAACACATAAGTTGTTGCGGCGTGCAACCCAATTCTACCAGACAACACAAAATCCTCCCTTGTCTCACCGTAACAATATCAACAAAAGTAAATAATATATATATATATATATATATATATGTTGCGGCGTGCAACCCGATCCCACCATATATCAATATTAGTATCATAATTCACATTTATTTCACCATATCAATCTACCCTTATTCCACCTGTTGCAACATGCAACCCGATCCTACTGTACAGTACGAATTCACTCTTATTCCACCATATCAATCTACCCTTATTACACCTGCTGCGGCGTGCAGCCCGATCCCACCATATCAGTACCAAACACTCAATGTACCTAGTCAAATCAATAGTTCAAACCACAAAACCTTTACGATCAATAAATGTCAAACTGAATCGAAAAGGAAAACTTATACAATATAAGAATCTACACAAGTAATACTACACAGCGAGACCAATCCAGCAATTTACAATTAGAAGATGCAAGCAAGTCAATTTAAGCAAATAGCAGGGTTCGTGAAACTATGAAAAAAGCTAACATCATTAACAGAAGAAGATATTGATTTAACAGGTAGCAGTTAAGCATAAAAAGTGTTTAGAGCATATAACAGTTAAGATAGGAAAGGAAATTATTAAGGAAAAATGGTAAATCAGGGAAAACAGATAATTCAGCGACGTATAAGCACTCGTCACCTCGTATATACGCCGCTCACATGAGAATCACATAGCGCATAGTCTGAGGGTTCCTAATTACCTCAAGTCAAGGTTAGGCACAATACTTACCTCACTCCGCACTCAATTCAAAGCTCTATCGGGGCCTTTCTCCTAGAATTCACCTCCAAACCACTCGTATCTAGCCACAATACTAAAGAAATCAATTACAACGCACAAATTTAGAATTCCCAAATTTTTTCCATAAAGTAAAAAATCGACCCCGGGTCTGCTGGGTCAAAACCCGAGGTTCAGACCAAAATCCATCGATCCATTCACCCCTGAGCCCGATTATGTAATTTGTTTCGAAATTTGACCTCAATTCGAGGTATAAATTCTAATTTTTTAAAAAAATTCCTAATTCTACCCAAACCCCCAATTTTCACCATGAAAATCCTAGATTTTAGGCTGAAATCCCATGAAATGTAATGGGTAATTGAAAGAAAGTAGGCTAGAATTACTTACCAACAAATTGGGGAAGAAAATCTCTTGAAAAAATCGCCTCTAGGTCTTCTAGTTTTGAAATTTTGAAAGAATGGCAAAAATTCTCTAATGGGACTGTTTTATCACTGGGCGTTAGTGTTCATCACGTTCGCGTGAACACTGACGTGTTCACGAAGAGCAGTAGCCCGAGTGGCTTTCGTGTTCGTGAGTCCCTCCCCGCGTTCGCGAAGGCTACTCCCCCTGGCCTTCGCATTCACGAGTCCATGCTCGCGTTCGCGATGAAGAGATGACTGACCTTCCCCCAGGTCCCTGAAGCTACGCATTTGCGATGAGCTGGTCGCGTTTGCGAAAGGTAAGGCCCCATCGCTCTGAATTCGCGAAGAAGAAAACCTTCCCCTATCTAGTTTACCCTTCGCGTTCGCGAGAGTACCTTCGCGAACGCAAAGAAGAACACACCAGATATCAGTTTAAGCAAAACACCAGATTTTTCTAAGTTCCAAAATACTCTATAGCCTATCCGAAACTCACCCGAGTCCTCGGGGCTCTAAACCAAACATGCACACAAGTTTAAAAATATCATACGAACTTGTCCGCGCGATCAAATTGCCAAAATAGCATCTAGAACTACGAATTGAAGACAAAATCAAATGAAATTTTCAAGAAAACTTTACAACTTCTATTTCCACAACCGAACATCTGAATCACGTCAAACCAACTTCGTTTCTCACCAAATTTCACAAACAAGTCAGAAACATAATAATGGACCTGTACCGGGTTCCGGAAGTAAAATATGGACCCGATATCAATAAGACCAAACATCAATCAAATTCTTAAAATCATTAAACTTTCAAACTTTTAATTTTCAACAAAAATTCATATCTCAAGCTAGGGACCTCGGAATTCGATTTCGGGCACACGTCCAGGTCCCAAATTACGATACGGACACACCAGAACCGTCAAAATACGGATCCGGGTCCGTTTACTCAAAACGTTGACCGAAGTCTACTCAAATTAATTTTTAAGGCAAAAATTCTTATTTTTATCAGTTTTTAACATATAAGTATCCCCGGAAAACACCTAGACCGTGCACGCAAATCGAGGAAGGCTAAATGAGATATTTAAGGCTTCAAAACACAATATTGTATTTTAAAACATGAGATGACCTATCGGGTCATCACAAAGGTAGAGCCAAAATTTGAATTCATGAGTTTTGTATTTTAGAACGACTAATTCAAGTTCTAATAATTGAATTTTAAATATAATACATATATATATTTAATGAATTTTATTAATACAGCTTCAATATTTGAGCAAAAGCTATTGAATTAGTGTATCTAAGCTTCTTCCTCCGCCCTGCATTCAGCTCAATGCATTAAGTATGTGAAATTTATTAGTTTGGTAGCGAAACTTTAAAATATTTAATGATATAGGACTATTCAAATAATGAACTGTTTGAATTGTTAGAAACCAAACTTTGGGACTTAACTAAAATTTTCCTTCGAGCGTGCTCAAACTTTAAGCTAATACACACGGAGAGGTCACGATATTAAAAGACACGTAAAATACAATATGAAGAGACCTAACAAGAGACAACATATATTAATACAGAGGCGGATCTAGAATTTGAAGTTTATGGGTTCCTATTATAATCTTAAATTAATATACAATAATAATTGGGTTCACAATTATATATTTATAGATATTTAATGAATTTTTTAATAAAAATACAGGGTCTCCGCAAAAGTTACCGGGTTCCCGAGAACCCAGTAACTATACTCTACATCCGCCACTGTATTAATAGACATAATAAATCATTAATCAAAATCATTGAGCGTACATGCAGTACGCACCATCACTGGAACAAATGAATAAAAATAAAATAAAATAAGATAAAAGCACATGCCAATAATATGAACATTGCTAGAATATATAAAATAAAGTCTATCGATTAATTATTTTCAAGAATGTGTTTATAAAAAATGAAGTATCATGAGTATTTATATACATGAATTAAGAATTTCTTCATAACGGTAATTGAATTTCTAACCAAATTGCAATTGGAAGTAATATTTTCATCATATTGAAAAGTATAGTAGAAAATTTAAATTATTGATACTTAAAATATTATTTGCATATCAGTAACATTAATCAAATCTGAAATTTTAAGTTAAAAAGGGTAAATGGTCTAATATACTTAATGAAATTTACTAAGTAGTAATGTACAATGGTGAGCATAATTTGATGGAGCATCATTTTTATAGCAACTAAATCAAATTCTCTAATTGCATAAACAGAAATAAATCTATCATTTAACTTGAAAAGTAGAAATCGTATTAATGTACTTATAGAAATTCATTGAGTGCTTGTAGACAATATTCAATATAATTAGGAAAGATATAAATCTATACCAAAGTTTTTCAAATTTTAAGCATAATGAGATCCTTAATAAAATTGAATCTTAAGTTGAAACGGAAAATGTTAAATGTAACAAGATGGACAGAAATTGCAATAAATTTATAAAACCAAATTAGTAAAAATATATCCACCATATATCACGCGAAATACTAAAAAATTTCATTACTAGAGAACCTAGTATTGGTACACATCGTATTAAATCCCAAAAAAGACTTGAATAAAATTATTATTTTATAAAGAACACAAATCTATTATTAAAATTTTGATAGGATATCGTGGAAGTTCTTAAATTTAGAAGATCCAAGTGAAGAAAAAAAAAACTAGTAATTTTGTTCACTCTTAAGAGGAAGAAGTAATTTTTATAGTTACAAATACACAACTAATCAATGACCAATTAGTAGACAGCTGTATATATTTACTATTAAAAATAAATTAATATATTTACTATTAAAAATAAATTAATGTATCGGATTACAAAAGAGTCAATATATTTATGTCGTTCTTATTGATACCAATATTCTTGGTTGGCTCGTAAAGTAACTCCATATATATAGTTGAAATACTAATGATTTGTCTACGCTTAAGCGTGATTATGAATGACCTCATTAAATTTATCAATTAATTCTTTTCTAATACACGAATGATAATTTTTTCCTCAAGATTTCTTTTAGTATTCAAATTAAATAGATTAGATTTCAAGTATTAATCTATTTCATTATTAACACTTATTTTATACAAAGTGTTTTATCACTTAATGGTTTTTAATCTTCTTAGAGATGCTTCATTTTGGTATAATCTATATCGAACATTTTTTTTTTTTTGGTCAAATCGAATATTTCACTTCTTAATCAGTGAGCTACCTTAAAATTTTACATTATATATACTTTCCCTTTTCTTTTGTAAATACAATTTTTAACAATAGGTTGCCTGTGGAAAAAGCGACCTGTCACCTTAAAAAATTTCAGCCCTTTCCTATTTTTTTTTAAATGCAGAATATATGTTTTTTAGCCAGATTTTTTTTAAGAATAGGTTTGCTGTAAGGTGAAGATAATTTTTTTTTAATTTTTTTCTTAAGAAGCATATAACGAGAGAATAACTTCAAGAAAAGAAAAGAAAAATGCATCTTTTTATGGGTGCATTTGATTCGAAGGACAATTTTTCTGGTAAATATTTTTCGATTTTTTTCTTAAGAAGCATATAACGAGAGAATAACTTCAAGAAAGAAAAAAAAGTGCATCTTTTTATGGGTGCATTTGATTCGAAGGACAATATTTCTGAAAAATATTTTTCGAAAAATATTTACCAGAAAAAACTGTCACAATATCCAACGTTCTCTGAAATTTAGAAAATATTTTAAATAGACTATGGAGAAAAACATAAGCAAAGTCAGTTGATTTTTCTTTTTAAATGTAAAATATTCTTAAACAAAAATATTTATTGATGTTTGGCTGCTGGAAAATAACTTACTTTCCTCTCCAACTCAAGCTGATGCTATGACAATTCTACTCAATGAGAAATTCACAATTTACCAACTGTACCTTCATATTGTTTCCAATGCACCAAAACTAACTGAATAGTAATCTATTGTTAATTCCTCCACTTGCCAATGAACCAACAATATGTACTAGTACTTATGTGTTATGTTAAGTCTACTAAATCATTTACCAGCAAGGTAGCTAATAATATTATGTGAGAAACCATTAAGCTGATTCGGTCGATGTGGTCAGGCTGGTGCTGCAAGTGTCGAGCCATGGTGGAGGCAGCATACTAGTTTGCTCATACACGGTCTGTAGCAACGGAGGAATTACACTGTAAAGCGACGCCATCTCTTTCATGACACCATTTCCCTTTCCTGCGCGTGTTCCATCGGTCATATCCCCTTCACTTGCACCAGTTGACCAAATAGTGATCTTTGGTTGCAGTCCTCTGATAGCTTCTGCGTTATATTTGGCAATGTCTGTGTATATCCTTTCATTAATCATCAAGAAATCCCTCAACGCGATGTAATTTCCTCCTAGTGCTGACAACAACGTGCGTATGTAAATCCCTTGTGCTTCTGCAAAAGCCACAAGTCCTTCAGCCTCTTTCTTCTTGGCATAGAGTGCAGCATCTGCAGCTTGTTTTTCTGCGTACGTTCCAGCATCTGCTTCGATCCTTCGAGCCTCTGCTAACTTTTGTTTCTCATACAGTATTGCGTCAGCTGCTGTTTGCTTTTGATAATACTCCGAATTTGCTTCTTGCACCTGAATTTTCACAAGCAATCAGCCACATTATGACAAAAAATCATGAATACTTAGAACGCGATCCGTTATTCTATAGATCCGAATGTCATCTGATGAAGCCGTTATTTGAATAGAACATCTAGAATAAATTAACTCTGAACAGCCATGTTAAACGCTTATCACTAGAGAACGGCTTAATTATTTGAGGGTCTTACATCCATTGCTTTGGTCTATATAAAAATACCATTAAACAATCAAGTAAAGATAATCAACTGATACCATCTGGATGGAAACATCAATAGATAGTCCAAAAATTAAAGAACAAAGAAAAACTTTTGACACATGCTAACAGTACCCTAAGGGGTCATTTGGTTACGGGATTAGGAAAAATTTGGAATTTACATTTATTCTCAGACCCCACTTGGGGATTATACTGGGTTTGTTGTTCTTGTTGTTGTTTATTCCATGTTTATTGGTATTAGCTAAAATTGATATAAATTTTATACCAGATCTTGGTATTATCTATCCCATATAGGATGCAGGATTATAATCGGAGGATATCGGATATCCTTGTTCCAAACCAAACAACCCCTTAGAACTTATGGCCTTAAACATGCCATGATATTTTTACGGCTATAAGAGTAAGTCAATAAGGATAAAATGAGAAGTTTAATTAAAAAGTTTCCATATAGAGATAAGCACCATTCTTGTTTGAACAGAGTAAAGAAGGAAAGAGTGCATATAAAATGAAACAGAGGGAATAACGGAAACACAACTAGACTCACCTTAATCTCATATTCCACATTAGCCCTACTGAGGAACTGAGCCTTGAAATTCTCAGTCTTAGTCAAGGCATTCTTTCGCTCGACTTCTTGCTGTAACTCAGCCTCTCGTATTGCCACAGCTTTTTCAGCTACCACCTCTGCCATCTTTGCCTGCTGCGACCATGCTGCCTTCTTCGTTGCTAGTTTTGCATTTGCCTCAGATACTTCAGCTTCTTGCTGATTCTCAAAAATCTTGACTTCTGATCCTACCTTAATCTCCTCCATTTTACCTTTACCTTTTCTTTGCGCGGTTATAACCTTCGTCTCAACATCAATCTTTGCAGCATTTTGAATTGTCAATCCTTCTCTCTGTTTGAATCCAACATCGCCCTTCATTTTCGCTTCAGCTACTTCAACTTTTGCCCTGTTTGCTGCTTCCATTTGAGTTTTCTGGCCCAAATATGAAAAGTACTCGTGGCCTCTAACATCAACCAGTTGCTTAATGTTAGCATTATATATCAGAAGTCCAAATTGGTTAAGCTCTAGCTGAACCTTTTCAAAAACTTCGCGCTTGAAATCCTTTGTGCCTTTAAATACATCTTCCATCGACATTGAAGCAGCCAAGACACGTGTCTCTCCCTCAATGATGCCTTGAACAAGCTCTTTTACATCATGGGAATCGCGCTGATGAAGAGAAAGAAGCCTTGCATATTTGACAAGGCTGCTGTGGTCATTAGCCCGGGGACCAATAGTGAAAACGGCAGGGAGTAGGAAAGATAGCTTCTCTTTGCTCATGGCATTGACTTCAAAGGTGTAATTTACGGGGGTAACGTCAATTTTTTCGCACTTCTGAAATGGCCATACCATAGCCTTCTTTGCAATTTTCAACTCATCAATTCCTCTGCCAGTGATGACCAAAAACTCAGATGGCTTTGCCACATGGTACCACATTGTTCTGTTTCTTTGTTGTTGCACCTCCTGAAGAAATTTCTAAAAGGTAAACTGGTTATACACCAAAATAGAACTCAATCTAAGAATATACATGCATTGTAAGATGCATAAAGAAAAATTACAAATTGACAATCTTTGTCTCAAGTACAAAAATGTCTCAAGCGGAAATAAGGATTAACTGACAGCATGATTTGGTACTGAGCTTATTGTCTGTACTGTAGACTCAATACTGAAGTGCATTAATGCTCAATATGGGAATTAGGTTGTAATGACGGCAAACTCATCAGCTTATCAGTGACGCTTCAACATCAATATTCTCATGAAGTTTCTATCCGGATTGGTCCATACCACAAAACAAGCAAAGACATAAGACTTTCTTTGGTCTGCCTCTAACTGAGTTGACATTTGAGAATTTGGATATCAAGCTTTTCGGACTTTACGCTCAAGGCACAATTAAAACATAAGTTGTAGCAATGAAAAGGAGTAGATGAAGAAATAATATTAAGTATATATGCAATGAAAGAAACAATAGCTCAAACATCAATTGTATGGTAAAAGGAATTCCCATTATTTGAAGTAATGATGTCTTTCAACTGCAAAACCATATAAAATTTCTATAGTTACAAGTTTCTAGTTAGGATTTGTGTTTTTCTTTTTGATAACTTAGAGATTCATCAGCGGCGTCAGGTTCGAAACTTGATAGAAAATGGGGCCCCCTCTGCTTTGTCCACTTAGACTTTTGTCTAAGGCACCAATCCGTGACATATTCCTACCCACACATCACGTGTTACGTTCTTACCACTAAACCAAAGGCCTATGAGTTACTTTCATGGTTTAAATGCAAAGAAGAGAAACGAGGGAGATTTTATCCATAAGTTTATCAGTGACTATACTGACTAAAAGATGTTACAAGAGCCAAAAAGAGAGAAACTAAACCAAAACAAGACAGCTTCATGATTACAGATTTATGAGCCACAAAAGTACATGACTATTAGCCAGATCAGGGAAAATTTTCTACTATTTGAAAGCCGCTAAACAGCTTTAATTCCAACATCTAATAGTCTTTAATTTCTAATTAATTAGCTGAAGCAGATACATCAATTAATCTACACATCACAAACACCACATACAATTAGAGCCTTATTTGATCACTACAATGGGGAAAACTCACCACCAAGGGATGTCAGAGGCGGATCCGGGATTTAAACTCTATGGGTTCCATTATTCCATATATGAGTTTTTTAGCATTGAACCCATTATATCTTTAATGTTATGGGTTCATAGCTACTATTTGATGCAATATTAATGAATTTTTACACATAAATTATGCTTCGCATCAAAAGTGTTAGGTTCAGATGAACCTGGTACCATAAGGCTAGATACGCCCTGAGGGATGTGGTGTGATGGCCCAGGTAGAACGATTGTAGTTTAATGTTAGGGGTTTATTCAAATCCAGTAGTTTTGGCTTAAACTATGCTCATACTTTAAAACATAAACTAAACACAAATATTTGATTTTGAACCCAGTAAATCAAATGGGTTGAGGTAGAATCCCAACATCAAAGCTATAAAGTTCAAATCTTGAATCCGTAAGATTCCTCCATGCTTAACCAGAGGTTCAAGTTTAAGCACTGGAATCGAGAAATTCCTAATAGGGATGTTTAACCTTCAGATGATCCAATACCGATGTGAATCTGGATTAGTCGGCCCAGTGAGTTCCCGGACAAATAAACCCAAAAAGAAAAAGAAAAAAAAACTCAAAGGAGAGAAAGTTGAAGATACCAATAAGATTGAGCACAATGTATATAAATTACTTGACTTGATGAACCAAATTCAAAGAAAGTAAAAGCAAGAAGAAACAGAAATTAACAATTTTTTAGCAAATTACAACAACAACAGACCTCGTAATCTCACAGTTGTGGAGGGCAGTGTACACGCAGTCTTAATTCTATATTGTGCAAGTATATTGTGCAAGTAGAGAGACTGTTTCCGATAGACTCGGCTCGGTCCAACATTTTTATTAACAAATTAAGAAAGCAAAAAGGGAATTGAAAAAGAGTAAACTATTTTACATGCAAAATCAAAACTACAACAGTCATTAGTATTAATTATTAAACTATTTTACATGCAAAATCAGAACTACATTAGTCATTACGAGCTCAAAATTGATGAAAAAACTTACCTTGGATAGAATCTCAGAAATAGAAAAACCCTAGTTTAGCAAAGAAAGTTCAGTTGAGTGATTTTATCGCCATTGTAATTCCGCGTGAGAATTATAACAAACCAGGAATTCTACTTCTATTAGTAGAAGGATCTTAACCAATGTTCACTTCTGCCAATAAATGCATGACACGTGTCCTCTGCATAAACATTTACTGTTTACCATGGTTAAATAATAGTTAAGAGAGTTACTTTTACTGAACCTCCTTAATCTTTTGGGTTTGGGAAATAATACTCTCTAAGGGGTCGTTTGGTTGAAATACGGATTATGCCGGTATAAGTTACGCCGGGATTAGTTATGCTGGGAATGTTATTTATTCACTATTTGGTATGTTGTGTTAAGAATGACAATTGCATAATTTCTAAGAAGAAGATATAAGTTATATCGATGCTAATTACCCCACCCTCTATAAGGTATAAGTTATCCCGATATTAAAATTAACACCGGAATAACTTATACCTGGTTTGCTAACCATATATAATATTAAGGTGGTATTAAATTTTTATATCACCCATATATCTTCTTATACCTCATACCAAACTGACCCCTAAATCTTTTGAATTGGATAGTAAACCCCTATGATCTTAAATTAATTTTAAAAAAGATGGTCATTGCATATACATTTAAAATGTCAAAAATAACTTTAACCCCTATGATCTTAAATTAATGAGAAAAAAAATTGGTCGTCGCATATATTTTTAAAAAATCAAAAATAACTTCAACCCCTATGATCTTAAATTAATGAGGGAAAAAATTGTGTTTATGTCTATTTTATTATCTAGGGTCTATCGGAAATTGTCCTTTGCTTTTATAGGACAGGAGTAAGGCTGCGTATACACTAACCTCCCCTGACCTTATGTATGGGATTAAACTGAGTTTTTTGTTGTTGTTGTTATTGTCTATTTTACTATCTATGTTATTCTTGTTCTTCAATTGAGTGTTAACAATAGTAAAAAAAAATATATCACTTTTCTTCCGTGCCGATGAAGTAATAGCAACTTCAGTATGAACATATGTAGAAATTGTGAATTTGTGATCAGTCTGGTAGCAAAGGCGGATTCAGAATTTAAAGTTTATGAATTCTTATAGCGACTTAAGTAAATATATGGGTTCAAAATCAAATATTTAAGGATATTTAGTAGATCTTTTTAATACATATACAGGATATGTGCAAAAGCAACCAAGTTCACGGGAACTCACATGTAATAGGTTGGATCCGCCTTTGCCTGGTAGTCCATGCAAATAATATATCGCAAATAACATACAGAACTTGTTAAATTAATTTTTTATTCGAAAAATGATATTGTATAGCCTGTAAAAATAATAGCCGAATAAATATATAAAATTTGTACATATATATATATATATATTGTAACGACCCGACTGATCATTTTGAGAAATTTTGCCTGGTTCGGCAGTTTGAGGTCACGAGCAGCTTCATAATATGTGTATCGACTTGCGTGCATGGTTGAATTTAGTTACTGGATGGTTCTGAATCAAATTGGAAGAAGAAAACTAATTTTGGAAGTTTAAACTGTGAGAATATGATCGGAATTGATCTTTTGAGTAAACAGCCCCGGAATGGGTTGTGGGTGATCTCAACAGCTTTTTATGGTGATTTTGGACTTAGGCACGCGTCCGGATTCAGATTTGGAGGTCCGTGGGATAATTTGAGGAGTTTCGGCGAAAGTTGGAAAAGTTGAAGTTTGGAAAATGGAGAAGTTTGACCCATAGTTCACTTTGGTGATATCGGGGTCGGAATACGATTTCGAGAGTTGGAACAGCTCCGTCTTGTCATTTGGGACTCGTCTGCAAATTTGGCGTCATTCCGGGTTGATTTGATAGGTTTCGGCAAGAGTTTTGGAAGTTGGAAGATTTGAAAGTTCCTAAGTTCGAATCATGGTGTGATTCGTCGTTTCGGTGCTGTTTGTTATGATTTGAGACCTCGAGCGAGTCCGAGTTAGGTTATTTGACCTGTTTGTGTGTTTAGACGGGGTTCCTGGAGCCTGGGGTGTGTTCCGGGTAGGCTACGGGTTATTTTTCCCCTTGGACTGTTGATATCTGTCAGTTAGGTTCCTCCTTCACGTTCGCATCTGCTCCTCCGTGTTCGCTAAGAGTAATTTTGGATGAGGAATTTATTGTTCTTCGTGTTCGCGTTTAACCTCTCACGTTCGCGAAGGTTTGCATTTCTCCTTCTTCGTGTTCGCAGCCTCTTCCTCGCGTTCGCATAGTAGAATTAGGAGCTGGGGGCTGGTGGCTATTTCTTCTTCGCGTTTGAGTCACACTCCCCGCGTTCGCGTAAGCTTCTGTTCTTTACTCTCCGCATTCGCGATGGCTTTTCTTGGCAGCTTCAGTTTCCTTCTTCGCGATGCACAAAAATCTGGGCGGGCAAAATATATCCCAAAATCTAGGGTTACACAATTTTCATCATATCTTGACTTGTGGAGCTCGGTTTTGAGCGATTCTTTGAAGGTTTTTCACACAAATCGATTGGGTAAGTGTTTTTCACCTAGAATCTAACATATTCCATGATTTTATCTTCATTTTTATCATTTAAATTGTGTTTTGGGTTAGGGAAAGAGTTGGTTTTTGAAGAAAATTTCTAAAAAGACAAATCGTGATTTGAGGGACCAAATAGCATCGGAATTTGATAGATTTTGTATGGTTGAGCTCGTATTGGAATAGGCTTGGGGGTTGACTTTTGGACCAATTTTTGGATTTTTTTAAAGATTGAGACTTTATGATCCGGAATAGTTTCTTATGTGTTTTGTTTGTGCTTTGAAGTTAACTTGGTTAGATTTGAGCCGTCCGGAGGTCTTTTCATCCGAGAAATGCATTTTAGAATATTAGTTTGTCGTCTTTGAGGTAAGTATCTTGCCTAACCTTGTGTGGGGGACTTCCCCTTAGGATTTAAGTCTTCTATGCTAATTGTAGTCCGTGCACGTGAGGTGACAAGTGTGTGATCGGACTTATTTGTGGGAGATTTGCCTTTAGGGTTCTTAGGTCCTTATATTCATTAAATGAGAAGTTTTTCCGATATGATTGGTTTCCTAATTGCTTGTTTTACCTCTATATGCTCCATATGATGTTGTTAGCTTTCTTCTAACTCTTACTTGTTACTTGACACTTATTTGCCTAAATTGAAGTGATTGTCTCCCTTATCGTTTTGATACTTCTTGATTGTGAGTTCCTCTATGACTTCGTGCAAATATGTTATATGTCCAATTGTTGTGGTTACCGGTGTAGTTATCACGTGCTTATTATGTCTTGTTATTTTATTATGGTTATTGTGATTCTTGATTTTTTCGTGATCCTTATGATGTACTATTCATGCTTAAATTTACGATTATTCATGTTGAAAAAGTCTTATGATATTCTCTTGGTAATTGACCAGTGTTGAGTATTAACTCAAGTTGAGATCTATATTGCGAAGCTAACTGTTAAACACGATTGGTTATTGTTGATTCCCTTGCTGGGATGTTATTGTTTCTAATGTTGATTCCCTTGCCGAGATGTTATTATTTC